TTCTTAAAGTTAGCACAGGGATGCATTTTTGGGCAATATGGATTTCCAGCCTGCCAAAATATGCATCCCCTCTATTCTCCTCAAATATTATCCTATTGATATAAAACTTATACCAGTAGTTCTTAGAACTACTCTGATTATGTAGACAAAGTTATCAACAGAAAACATTTTCAACAGACACGGACTGAAAAAAAGTTCGACTCATATGTGTCAATAAAGGTGTAAAAACCGTATTTATTTCAAGTAATTTGCGAAATAAAATCAACCATTTTAGGGATTACATGGTTAAGAAACGTGATAATGTTACAAATATCTTTAAAATTTCCTCTTCGGTCATATTTCAGTCCGGTTTCTCGTCAATATGCGAGACTTTAGAGCGATGCGCGCTCCCGCGAGAGGGGATGCAATTTTGGGCAGGCATGCGTTTCTGGGCATAACACCGGCATGAGTAGCTGCCATGGTGGAGGCACCACCAGTTAAAAGGTTAAAACCTTTACTAAGAACCAATAAATAATTAAAACTATATACACCAAGAAATACAAACTAAAAGGAAGAGATATTTTCCACTAATTGTGGTCAATATCTCAACCAGGGACAAGCTTTAATGCACCTCTTAAACAGTGGTAACAGCCAAGTCACAACGACTACCTATCACCACCCGATGGAGGTCTTAGCCAAAAGGCCAAGAAGCGAATAAAAGCAGTGCAGCTTTAGTCCATGAATGAGGTGAAATTAGAAGGTTTGTTTATTTTGGTATTTCCAGTTGACTTTACACGGCAGCCAGAGTCAACTAAGGGTTTGTGGCCGTACAATGCCCAGGTCTGCTCTAAATGCTTTATTGAGGAGCTAAACTGAGGAGTTTGTTATCTGGTAGTTTGTCCTTCTGGACCTGTTCCTCTCAGGCTCTGTGTTAATTGATAACTTTACCTGATAAAGGAAGGAATGAAAAACAGGAAATCTCTGCTGCTCGGCCCTGAGTTCAGGAAAACATCCTCAGAGTTCAGAACAGGATCTGTTAAAATCCCGTCTGCCTGCTGAGGTTGATCTGGTCCAACAGTTCTGGAGGAGACAGAGGAGCTGGCCTACCCACAATCCTCTCTGCTGGTTTAATCCGTTAAAATGTGATTTTACAGTCAAGTTACCAAAGCAGCATGTAACGCTCTGCTGTAAAAATCCTCCTGACATCAGAACAAACACCAAACCTCCAGAGTCTGCAGAGAAAGTTTGCTGTTTGCCAGCTGAGGTCATCATCAAGGTCAATCCCAGCTGTTTGAAGGAGTGTGTGATGTCATGCTGGTGCACGGCCACCAGGAGGCGCTCTCCAGCTGAGCTGAGATCCAGCAGCATCTCCACTGTCTGATCTGTGTTAGCATGGAGCTGCTGAGCTTCACACTCCTCCACTGCTCAGCTGTGGGTCTCTGAGGGAGAGTTTGTAGTCAGCAGACTGAGGAGAACAGAAAACTGTTCTTAACTTCGCCCTCATGAAGTCATAATATTTTTATATTATGGCGTTATTATTTTATTATGGCATAGTTTACATAAATATTCTGTTCTGTTGCAGAGTGTGTATTAATCTGGTATTTTTAGTTTAAATTCCAACTTCATCAGAGCAAAGTAAATGATTTATAAAATGAAGCCTCAAACATAATGAATCTTCATGTTTTCCAGGTAAAAGATGGCGCAGCAGCAGGAAGTGGATTTCGGTAAGTGATCAGAAGCAGAAATGAAGAATCATAAAGGAACAAACTGACCAATCACAGCCTGTGTTGCTGCCATGTGATGAAGCTCAGCCTCAGTGTCTTTATTGTTTTCATGCTTCCTGTTCAGTGAAGCTCTGGTGGAAACATTGTGAGTTTCTGTGAAACCTGAAGGTAAAAACTGAACTCAGATGGAAACTAAAAGGAACCGAAGTGAAGAACAGGCCAGCAGCTCTGATACTTCAGGAATATTTACTATGTTCACTAATTCATTTATCCAGTAATCACATCATTTATTACTAATTTATTATCTCAGACTTGCTGTGTCTTTTATTCCAACACTTGGTGACAGAGATGCTAAAGCTTAGAGATGGAGATGAAGAAAAAAAAGTGATGAAAATGTTAATCAGTCAATAATTTCATCACAATATTCACCAATAATATCATAATTTCCTGTTTTCCTAGAATAGTGCAGCTCCATATTTAGAATGTGTTTCTTTTATTGTTCTTCCTGCAGTGAGGAAGGAAAGTGATGAACCAGAAGCTTCATTTGGTCTCATGTAGACAGAATCAGTGGTCGTCACTCAGATATGAGGCAGAAACACAACAGCAGGTTTAGACCTGAGGAGCTGATCAACAGACTCTGAATCTCTGGATGGAGCAACATGAATAGTTGATCTTCATCACGTTTTTCTCTCAGACGTTGGTTTGAATTAATTATGTTTCTGATTTCTGCCTGCAGAGAAAATACTTTTCAAGGTTCACAGTGAGTTTGTGGAGAGAGTTTCTGAGGAAATCCTTCGTCGGCTCCTCGATGACCTGGAGAAAGATGGCGTCTTTATTCGCTTGGAGAAGCGGGCGATACTTCAAGGGAACCCAACCACAGCAGACAAGGCTCGTAACACCATGGATGCTGTGAGGATGAAAGGACAGAGAGCCTGCAGATTGATGATCAGACGTCTTCACCACAGAGATCCCACTCTGTCCAACCAGCTGGGTTTGTCCTCTTTGTCTCCTGTTAAAGGTGAGACACACAGTTCATTAAAGCTGCTTTTACAGCCTCTACTGTCTGTGATTCAACTCTAAATGATCATTAAATCTGTTTTCCTCCAGTTGCTCTCAGAAGGACCAACACTTCAGATGTGACTTTTAGAAAACGTCTTAAATTCTCTGTCGTTTTTCTAATTTTGGTTCCTCTTTGCACGTCTCCTTCTCAGAACAAACCTGGATTTCCTGGTGGGGGTCATGACCCCTCCCTCTCAACTAGAACTGCATTAAAGTTCAGTTCTCAGATAAAAACTGAACAGATTTACAGCCTCACAATAAACTGCTTCATGCTGATGGAACTGTTGTTGTTCAGATCCCGTCTTACAGAACTGGTCTCTGATTTTGAAAAGCAGTCCAAACAACTGCTTCCACTTCAGAATCCGTAAGACGGATCCAAAAACCGTTTGAACCGTACGAGAGGGTCGTTTGTCTTCTTCAATAATACCGCGAATCATATCTGTACCTCACTCACAGTAATAGCATTGATGAGATAGATATGGTGTGTTGAGCTCTGAAACTTTGACAGAAGTGTGAAAATGAATGGTTGAGAGCCTGAAAACAGATAGAAAACCATCAGAGAAATTTTGACAGGTTTTTATGGAAGCTGACACTCGGTGCGACGTCATGATCAGATTTTGTACCAATAGAGCGATAATTGGAGGCGTGAGGGCAAATTAAAATGTTCAGGAATGTATTATGGGATTAGGGTGAGGCAGCAGAAATGAATGGAAGTCAATGGAAAGTCCCCACAAAGAGCCTGACCATCATTTATTTGTGTGTCTGAGCATCACAGCTGGAGGTTCT